GACAGAAGTCACAGCTGGGTAGGGGTGGTCTAGAGTATCTGTTCTGGAGACAGACTGCTTGGAACTGATTCCCAGCACTGGCGCTTAACAGCCACTGGGCTTTGGGCAAGGCAAGTCATTCTGTGGCCTAAGTTTACACACCCAAATGAGGACATTCTTACAAGATTGTTGGATGGAGTAAATGAAATTAGTATCTAAATGAAATTAGTATCGATAAAATCAAACAATGCCCGGCAGATAGTAAGTGCTATTTAAGGCAAGGCTGCTGTCACCATTCATTAAAATAAAACAACTACAATAACAATAACGACTTTTCCAGAGATGGGAAACTGGGAAGGCAGAAATGTTGATTGGTGAAGGGGGTGGTAAGATTCCAAAGATTGCAAATATAAATGAAAATTGCTTACCAAGGCTGACTATTTAAAAGCTTTTTTTTTTTCCTCTGATGAGTTAAATAAAAAATTATTCCTTCTTGACAAGAGCTTCAAATATACCTTCTATTATACGTCAGCATACAATTAAATATTCTGGTAGGTCTCTTTGTATCAACATCCCTGTCTGGGTGGACTGTGTTTCCGGGGATGGCCCTTACCTGGCCTTCCATGGGATTCCACCTCAACAGCTCAGCTATTCTGTTTTTGCATTTGTTTTGCCTCTCACAGGCCTGTCCTTATGAATATTTATCATGTGGATTTCTTAGCAATTCCCAGTCTTGTATACACCAACTCAAGTATGTTTGCCTTTTTTTTTTTTCCTAAAAAGGGGACAATAGTCGTCCTGTACTCTCTAATAGAGATAAAGCAGAGTATCATGTTGTGAAAGGTACCCAGTGTGCTCCTGTGCTGATTCTCTGTGGCTTATTGAGTCCCACAAAATAGATTCCAATCTGATATATGCTAAGTTCATATCACAGGAATTGAGTGGAAGTTCCATTAGTAAGAGGCACTAGGATGTCTTTCACCTGGGAGTTGTACAAAGCCAAGAAAGCAGATCAAGTCAACAGCCCTTCTCTTGAGTCCTTTAGGGACATTCGTTGCCATAAATGACTGGAGAAGATTATATAATTCATAAAGCCATCAAACTTGTTAATACCCATTCCTAGAACTATGAAATTCAAAGGGACTTTGAAAGGTCACTTCGTCCTTCTTACCAGCTCTGACCAAAAAAACTAAAATAAAATAATTGCCGGCTCCTATAAAGTCCTGCTGGTTTTTAGAGACTTTCTGAAAGGAGGTTTCACAATCTCCCTCAGAAATACAGTTGGATTTTTTAACAACCCTCATTGTAGAAAAGGTCATTTTAATATCTAGCCAGAGTTCCAATTGCTGTAATAAAAGGCCATGTCCTCCTTTTCAGTCATTGCTAGAGAAGGGGAAGGGTTGGTTACCAGCTCCTTCGTAAATTAATGGTCACTGAGCACCTACTGCGGACCTGTTCTCTTCTTATAGCAACGCATTTATGCTTTAGGATCACGAAGAAGCACTTTGCAGCAACCCTTTTCCAGGCCCAGTGAACACATAAACATGTCCTATCCAGGGTCCTAGTTTCCTACTCTCTATTAATCTCTGAAACCTTTCTCTGCAGATCATCTGTACTCCCCCCAGCAGTGAGCACATTCCTCAGTAGTTTCTGACAAATTCAGAGTCCAAGAGACTTCTCATTCACTTCTTTGGGTGGTTTTGTTTTGTTTTGTATAGCAGTAGATTCTACGCAGCAAAACTTTTTTTTTCTACTATGCATTGAATCCTTCTAGGATTTGCCTGAAGCTTTTGTGACTCTATCATAGAGGAAAATAGGGATGAAGAAAATAGGGAAGACATCTCGTATATTAACATGGAAAGCCTTGTTTATGAAATAGAAAGAGAAAAGTATCCCATAGCCATGAAAAGAAACAGAATAGCCTGATCTGTGGATATATTTGTTCAAAATCACCTGGAGCAAACAAATCAGTAGTGGTGTGTATTCCTGAGAGAACTGATGGTTACAACATACAGGTATGCAAATGTAAATGAAGGAGAACCCTTATAGCAGGAGTTCTAAAACTATCCTGAGACCACAGTTTCTATATTATTTCTGTCCTTACAGTCTGAGGCCAGGCAAGCAGCCGATGCATTCCTGTGCACAATGATTTGCAAGATTTTGTGGAAAATTATAGAGCTGGTACTTCTTTTAAAGAGCTTCAAGTAGTTAAGGAGAACCAACTCACTGTAAGTCAGATAATTAATAATAAAGCCTACAATCCGAAGTGAGTTATAGGAACCCCAGATGAACAAGAGTTCTGAAGACCATGAGTAGATAGTATTTGCTGGACTGGCCAGAACAGAGCCATCCTGGGGGAGAGGGACCATGGGCTCACACTTGACAGATAGATGCCTGGTGGGGTGGAGGGTGGTGCATTGAACCAACCTCCACCTAGGGCCTTTATCTTGCATGCATCTATCTGGCAGTCTTATTAATTACAATTGAATTTGGGATGGATGACACTGTAGCAAAGAGTTAAAAGCATGAACACAAAGACATAGAGAAAGCTGTCAAGCCCTGGGAAGGGACCACGGGGTCCAGTCTAGTTGGTGGAGCAATTCTTCTAGGTATGAATGACAGTGGTTCTCTCCAGCCAGTCTGACGTTCTTCTAACATGAGTCCAGTGTGTGTTTACATGTGTGTATGCATGCACATGATAACTCCACACAAGCACCATCCGTGTGCCCCTCACACACTCACATACCTTGTTCTCCCTTCTTTCCTGAACCTGGCAAAGAAAATATGGAACAAAACCTCAAGCCCATCTTGGGACCAGTTCTGAGCACACACAGAAAAGAACTGTTCCAGTTTTTATGCATGTGCAGAGATCTTTAAAGGGAAAGCCACACTACACTTTAAAAAAGACAGCAAAGTAGGGCCAAGGCAGGAAAGGAGCAGAAAAGAATGAGTTGAAGTGCAAGCAGGTAGCTAGAAATGAGAAGATAAGAAGATAGAGAAGAAGACAAGAGAAAGAAGAAGAAAGCACAGTGATTCAACTTGAGAAGAACTTGAGCTGTGGGTAAGGATGTGGAATTTCATCTCTTGAGATGTGAAATATGGCTTTGGGTACTTGTACCCATCTCCACAGCTATACCTGGAACCCCATGGTCTCATCACCATCTGACTTTTAGACAAGAAATGACTGAGAGACTACAGACCATGTGTGAATTCATCCATGCATCCTTATTTCTGTTACGTGGTTGGGCCTCAACAAATGTTTGTTCAATGAATGAAATTATTATGCCCTGAACTTTGTAATTCCCACAACAGAATATTCTTGTAAAATCAATCAATACTTTGTGTACATTTCTGCAGAAATCCCTCTCCACGGGCTCCTGGCTTTTCCCAGGGTCAGAGGAGCCTCATGGGGAGCCAGCACATACCATGCAGGTCTCTCTCCCTTTTTCCCTACCCTACCCCCAAAGTCTCTCCACTCATTTTTTAAATTTTATCATTTAGCATCTCATTCTCTTGGACTTAAGTCAAATAGATTCTGCAACTTTTCCTGGGAGAGGAAGCACAGTGAGTCTTATCAAACATTTGTAGTTCAGTGCCAAGGCACAGGTAGGGACTTTTCCTAAAAATAGGGCTTATATCTGGAGAGAGAATGAGAATTCTGGTTACCTGAGTAGCAAGAGAATGGCTATGTAAGGACAAAATGGAAATCCAGGGGAACTGTGACAACATACTCCTGCTCCTGCATTCTGTCTCATTATGTCCCTGCCCAGTGATATCCATTTGCAGCTTGGGCATTTTGCCCAGGTCACCCTCCTGGCTTCTGGTCCTTTGTGTTTTAGTACCTGGGAAGCTAAGGGTGTCTTTGTCTCTGCTTTGCCTGCTCAGCAGTGAAGCAGCTGCATTCTGTGCACTGCCAGGCGGCTTCTCTGCACGTGCACATTTGCTGAGCAGGTGTGTTCTCCCTAGAGACACCTTTTAAGGTGGTAGTGTCATCAGTCAGCAGTGCCCAAGGAACCGGAGGGAAGGGAAGAAAAGGGCTAATTGGTTTGAATCCACAGTTCCCTCCCTGGCCTGGTATTCTGGCCTGATGCTTTTATTGTGTCCTGTGTCCTCATGCTCTGGGTCTATTTATTCTCTCTGTGGAATTTCCTCGAGTAGTAGGTTGGTGGGGACTCCAGCAGACTGATGGGTACCTTCCGTCTCCCTCCAAATGACAGAGGCAGACCTACCTAGGAATTCCAGGGTGGACATTACTCAACAGGCCTGTGTTTCTGGGTGATCAGAGAAGTAGGTCTCCATGCCCACCCCTCCCATTTGGGCCATCATGAAATTGGAACCAAGGTCCAAGTACCCACCATGGCTATTCTAGTTATTAGCTGGGTCTGACAAACCTCTGACCTTTTAGATACTATTATTTTTAACAGTTGTGCTTTCCCCTGCAAGTTATTTTTATGTGTTTACTGCCCTATTACTGAACTGGTTCTGCTCAATTTCCTTATTCACTCTTTAATTTGGGAGCACCTTATTTTACAGTCCACTAACTTTGTTGAAAATAAATTCACTTTACTTGTGTGGTTAGTATTACTCATTTGATAACATAAGTGCCACATTAGGGTGCGGCGAATGCATAGTAAGTGCCATGCAATTACAAGGTAAATATATGATGGGTTTATTTCATCTTCATCCTCTGGGCCCAACACAGGGCGACATAGTAATTACTTTGGTACCCATTAAGTGTACTTACCGCATAATCGGTGGGAAGATTAATTATGTAGGTAGCCCTTGCCACCTTCCATTTCCACACAATTTCTGAGGTTCCACCTCTTTTAGGATTATGTTGTTGGAAATAAATCTATGCTGAATCCACCGCTATGAATCCATTCCACGGATGAACCATACCCAGGGCACATCTGGAAAAGGTTGAAAAGCATTGGCAGCACATTCTGGGGGTGGTGGGGAGACACCCACATTCTAAATCCAAACTAACGCTTTTATTTTTGCTTTGCCCATGCATTCAATAGGATGGAGTAGGAGAGGTATGGGAGAAACAGCATGTGCCTTCTTAGAGACCAGTCTGCTTCCACCATGAAGTGTTAGCAGCTAGCATTTAATTGGTGTCAGAGATTATTTACATGGACATAGAACCCCTGGAACCAAGACCTTCATCTCTCATAATGATTGTGTATGCCTAAACTGAGGTCATCAGTGTTCTCTGAATCTGAATGATTTGTAACAAAGCTAAAATTAATATTTGTGAACTCTGGTCCTCTGTTTCTTGACTCACAGATCATATGTTAGCTTCTTACCTTAGACCCTTCTCCATAAATGCATGTGCCCCAAGTCATGTATAAGCAGAATAGTCACCCATTTATTTCTGTCATTTGTATGAGTCTGTCCTCCCTCAAATAAAAATAAGATATAAAAAGTATTTTGCAGGTAAATATGACTTCCTAAAATAAGTTAAGGAGTTGTCTGCGTTCACTATAAAAATATTATGTTCTTTGCAAAATTGATTCTCTGCAAGAGTCTATTACATGGTAAGCTACCTTAATGCAGTTAAGATATTTGACTAGCATCACTTTGATTTATACAAGGCATTTCAGAAACATGATTACTGTGTGAATGAAAGTACGACTTGTGTGGCTAGCTACATATGTCATTTTCTCTGAGCAGTGGCTCCAAAAATTCAATAGCATTTCATTTTGCATCCCCGTGTGGCTCATTGGCTCTGCGCCTACATTGGCCACTTAAGGTCTCTCTTGTGTCTTTCAGGCATCGAGAATGCCAGCGACATTGCCCTGTACTCAGGCCTGGGTGCTGCAGTTGTGGCCGTGGCAGTCCTGGTCATTGGTGTCACCCTTTATAGACGGAGCCAGAGTGACTACGGCGTGGACGTCATCGACTCTTCTGCATTGACAGGTGGCTTCCAGACCTTCAACTTCAAAACAGTCCGTCAAGGTCAGCGGCGCAGGTCCCCTCATACCTCGCCCTCAGGACCATGGACTACACTCCCACAGGGCCCCAGTGTTCTCCTTGGCCCTGTGGGAAGGTAGCTGTTGGCACTGGGAGCCGCTACCAGGCTTGACAGGACACCAGGCTCCACAGGGTGGTCTGCTTAGGTCCTCAGCTGCAGGGAGGACAAATGGATCTCAGTTCACCACGAGCAACATTTATAAATGAAGCAATTCCATTTTTGAAATATAGTGAGTTTAATGAGTTAGTTTACCTCAAATTACCTAACTTTCTCCACTAAGAAGTCTGATTGGAGGATATCATTTAATTGAGTTAACTAAAATACTGTTGCTCCAGGCTGAGCACCAAGCCCAGACCACAACCTCCCTGGCATATGTATTATATTATACATTTTTTTCTTCTGTTTTAAATAAGTAAGAATATCTCAGAAGATATAGGACGGGTGGGTCAGTTAGCAAGGGACACAAACTAAATACCAGCCAAAATGACTCTCGGCTCTTGCCTAGTCCAACAAGTCTTTTGTTGTGGGGGAAGGGACATCTAGCATGCCAAACATACCAATACTACCTTTCAAAAGAGAGTCAGTTAGTTCTCTTTTATGAACCAAATATTTTACTTACTGTGAGGTGGGATGAGACCTATGTGGCTTTTGTCTCAGAGAAAATGGAACTGTCACCCTTCAGAAGATGACGTTTTCAATCTTGACCCTCTTCGTCCATATTGTTTCCTTTATTCATATTTACTGTGTTATCAGTACCACCCGTGACCCAGGTTGCAAAGTCTCAGTGATTATCATTGATTGAGGAGACAGCTACTCAAAGGGAAACCCAAACCTGATAGGAAAAAAAAAAAAAAAAAAAAAAACAATTGAAAAATGGCCAGAAGAGTCGAGTTACTCGTCTTGTCATTTATATTTGAGCACCTCAGTGTTAGGCCTCTGATAAGAATGCATCCTCTAGATTTGGATATATTGTTTACTATATATATATGATTTAATTAAAAATGCAGGTAGTGAAGAATTAATTTTTATACTACATCAGATACTAGAAATATATTTCCATCAAATAATAAATGTCAGTATCTTAGACCATAACACTTAATGAATTTAGAGGAAATACATATATGTGAGAGTTTTATGTATAAATCCTCAGTCTTTAAAATCAGATTTGAGCTGGGCATGGAAGCATATGTCTGTAATCCCAGAGGCTTGGGAGGCTGAGGCAGGAAGATCACAAATTAAAAGCCAGTCTCAGCAATTTAGAGAGACCCTAAATAACTCAGAGAGATCCTGTCTCAAAATAAATAATAAAAAGGGCTGGAGATGTGGCTCAGTGCCTCTGGGTTCAGTCCCTGTTGTAGACAGATAAATAAATAAATAAATTGAAATACGGATAGTAACATCCAACTCATAGTGTTCTTGTAAGGATAAAATTGTTTAGAATAACCCATATAATCCCTTGGTGCATGGATGGCAAGTGCTCATAAATGGAGTGAACATGGTTCTGGAAGATGATACTTTCAGTACAGGCTGCCATCCTGCTTCATGAGCACCGAGTAGCAGGTGAGAAGTGCCATTGCCTGGCTTGTGCACATTTGGGGAGGAAAGGGAATTTTGTATTGTCACTCTCTAAATGAATACATTACCTTGCCAAATTGTCTGACCACCTTGTTTACTTTTGATCAAGGATCTCACGAAACTAATGATATAGGAAAGAATCCTTGGTAGCTGCTACTATCCCTATATTCCTTGTGATGATACACCTCGTATGCATAGTATGTGGCTTTCACCTGCAGTGTCTTAGGTGTATCTGTTCTTGAACAATAGATCTGGTGCTGCAGAAAGGGAAACAATGAGACTGTTAATGCCCTGGGGTGCAGCTCAGTGGTAGAGCACCTGCCTGCCTTGCACAAGGCCCAGGTTTCAGTTCCCAGCCCTATTAAATAGAATGTTATGCTTATAGTAGACTAAGAACTTGAAAATAGATTTTCAAAGAGTAGATTGAAGTCTGATCAGGGCCACTCACCCCTGCCCACCCCAACTTCATTCTTCAACTGTGGACTCTGTCATATGTATATGTTTGTTTTTTTGTTTTTTGTTTTTTTTTCAGGGCTGGGGATGGAACCCAAGACCTCGTGCATGCTAGGCAAGCACTCTGTCACTGAGCTACATCCCCTGCCCTGTACGTACTTTTATTATCAAGCATTCTCCACGTCTGTGCTACCTAATTTTAGGAAATATTTTTCATTTCTTTGCTTCACATGAGCTGGGAGAGTCTTTCAAGAATAATCAAAAATTAAGTTTCAGTAGGTGAGGGCTTGCTAGACTTGGACATATAATTCTTGAAGTCTCCATGGAAACGTCAGTTCCCAACTCTTTGCAGACATGGGATCATTCTGCAGTCCCACTTCTTGCCTGGAGACCATAAACAAGAACATGGTTCCTAAGCTATAGAACTCAATGTGGTTCTGTTACAAAACTCAGAGGCTTGATTGGCCTTTGTCTTGGGACAGTAGCTCTAAGCTTGGAAAAAATACACCATCAAGGAGACATTAGATCTTGCAGCATTATTTCATCTTATTTTTACATTTTCTCTGTGATTTTGCAATCTTAGAGCATCTGAATAAGAGGTGGTAAAAGTCAGGGTTATAGATTTCCTGCTGGCATTGTTACAAATTATGAAAATGGGAAAACAATAGAGGATCATACAATATGGCCTAGAATTGCAACATTTTCAAAAATACCATACTTTAAACATTTCTGTCAGGCCCCAAAGGAAAATTGTTTAATATGGTTTGGGTTTCAATTTGAGATGTCACATTGACGGACTGATATGGGTGGGAGGTTTGGGACTGAGGGTTATTTTGTTATTTACTAATAAACGAGATTACTTCATCACAAAAATATATCACAGCATTTCTTTTTAATATTTGGCTTAGAAAAAATTGGTGCTCCCCAACAGATGACAAAGTCCAATTTCTCATGCTTTTGTAAAGATTGGTTTTTTTTTTTCATTTGTTTTCAGACAGAAAGGAGACTGTTCTGAGCTGCTCCCCACATAGAATCTGAGTTGCTTTCTGTCCCCATATGGAGTATTGTTTTCCTCTCGGTGACATATGCAATGTTCAAGTGAATTGGCTACTGAGACATGAAGCGATTCATGAGGTCCCCTGAACCATTTGCTCTGAGGACACATCATGTCCTCCTGCAGCTCCAGAAAGTGCCCAGAATTCCACGAAAAATGTGCTGAAACCAGGCAGCTTCATTATAAACAGCACTACCTAGTCACCAAGCTGTGTCATCTCTTGCCATTTAAAATGAACAGATGTTATTTTTGCTCCGAACTGGATTGCAAAACATCTTTTTTTTTTTAGCTCTTCTTTGCCAGTTAAAATCACATGAACAACAATACCTGAGCTGCTTGCCAGAGTGCCAGAAATATTTGTTTTCCAAATCAAGCATGTAAGGATCTCAGAAGGTGAAGGATTTAGTCTGGAAGCATTGAAAGAAGGGACTGGAAGGAGGGCCAGAGTTTCAAGGTGTTGGTCACTAAAGACCAACCTGTTGTGACCAACCTGTTGTGTCTGCTTTCTCAGGGTGGGCCTGCAGTTAGAGAAGGCAGCTGTGAAAGGGTAATGGAGGTGTCGTAGTTTCTGAGTGACAGATCAGTATATATATATATTTTTTACCCAGGTAACTCCCTGCTCCTGAATTCTGCCATGCAACCAGACCTGACAGTGAGCCGAACATACAGCGGTCCCATCTGTCTACAGGACCCACTGGACAAGGAACTCATGACAGAGTCCTCCCTCTTCAACCCTTTGTCGGACATCAAAGTCAAAGTGCAGAGCTCATTCATGGTTTCTCTGGGAGTGTCTGAGAGAGCCGAGTACCACGGCAAGAATCACTCTGGGACATTTCCCCATGGAAACAACCGCAGCTTTAGTACAATGCATCCCCGAAATAAAACGCCATACATCCAAAATCTGTCATCACTCCCCACAAGGACAGAACTGAGGACAACTGGTGTCTTTGGCCATTTAGGAGGGCGCCTAGTAATGCCAAATACAGGTGGGTGGTAAGTGTGTGCCTGTGTACTTTCCAGAGTTTGTTTAAATACTTCATATAATTATATCCTGTCAAAGTCATTTTATGATGTTTATCATCCTTTTGTCAGAACAGAAATGCCACCACTCTACCGGTCTATTGGATTTACACAGCACACCAGGACCAAGGCAAAGATTAGGCTTTGTGGTTGTTATCTCAGAAAGTTTTAAATGCCCATTAGAGTTGGTAGGCATATTAGCTGGAAGTGTCTAGGTAGTCCCCTGGGTTTTAACCCCTTTGAAATATGTTACCTGGGGCATGATCTAGTAGCCCCAAAATCATTCTTTGGCAAGATCACAACAAGTACCATGTTTATAGCTTTGCATGGCTTATATGCTAGTAGATAAATTAATGCAATGACAGTCTCATTTCATCAGTAAATGACCTAATAAACACACTCAGTGTTCATAGACCTTGCTAAGCGACTTCCTTCATGATGAGCGATGATGAATAGTCATTGCAAAGCTGCTCCTTTGAATTGCCACTTCAGTTCCTGGGCTATGTTGTAAGCACAATTAATTTCCAAGTATTTTCTTTCTTTCTTTGGGTTGGAAGAGAGGAGATTTTCTTGATGTTTTGCAGGACACATAGGGTGCCCAGCTCTGCTCACTTTTAAAATGGCATCCTAAATGTGGATTAGTTTTTGGAGTTGCAGCCTGGGACTTAAGTGGGTGGCAGAATTTCACTTTGTCCCCTGAGTCCTAAGCAATGAGAATTGGGTAGTGTGCTGAGTCACAGGGTGTCTGGCTGAGAGGGATGGGGCCATTGGATCTGCAAGCATCGTTAGAGTAGCACAGATTCAAGGCTGTGGCAGGTTTCTCTCTAAAGTAAAGCTAACTAAAATTTTATCTCATAAAATGAAATCTGTAATAGGACTAGTCCAATATTATTGTTCTAACTAACTGACCTCTCTAACAGTTTACTAACTTGAAACTCAACTTTTCCTTAAGTTGATGAATGTTGACTTGTTCATTCTCTCCCAAATTAATTACTTTCTTTAAATGTCATTTCAAAATCTGTTTTACTTCTTTTAAATAACCCTCTAATGCCATTATGTTTGGATAAAATTCCAATCCTCCATAGCTTTCTTGGTTAGGGTTTTTGGACATGAAAGGATCTTGGTTGAAATATGTGTAAGCATCAGTGTATAAATGTTTGTGTATTATGTCACTCTTCTTTTGATGACTCAATGTAGAGTGAATCAGTCAACCATATTTACCAAGTACTCTCCCTGTAAGGTTTCATAAGTTACAAGGGTGTGTTCTGGATGAAGAAATGTAAGTCACATCCCTTACCCTCTCAAAGAACAAGATACACACATCATAACTCATACAAAGTCATGCATTGAATCATT